ATGCCACCGGTTTTTCTATTAATGACCCTCCTGGACCAGGATCCTGTCCAGGGCACCCCCTGGCATTTAGTCCTCACGTCTCCCCAGTCCCCGTGGTCTGTGGCAGCTTTGCTTGTTTTTCATGACCTTGACAAGCAGAGAGAGTATTGATTCAGTCTCTTTTATCACAAATGTCCAAGTGGGGTCATATCAAGAATTTTGAGAGCCATAACCAACTCACCTGAGAGGGTTTGGAGGTGCCAGCAGTGAAGAGAAATTGCCGTTTCAGCGCATCAGAAAGGGCAGCACTGCTGGGTGGGTACTCCCTGGGTGCGAGGACACAGGGAACCTGAGAGCCAGTCGTCCTGAGGGGGGAAGGGCCAGGTCCTGAGTATAGTGAAAGGTAGGTTTCAGGAAACACGCGGCTTCCCGGGAGCTGATCATCTTCTGCCCCGTGTCCAGTTCCAACCCCGGTGCTTGGTAACCACCGTTTGACGGTGCTCCTAGTTTTGCCTTTTTCCATGAACATCTGCATCTCCCAAAAGTGAGGCTTTACTTCTGATGACCAAATAACAGCCCTGGAGGGATGAGAGTGAGCTGCCACCGCCCGGCTCGGTGACAGACGCCAAGAGAAAAGTGTCATTACTTTTGGCAGCCCCACTATATGCTGGCCAGCAGCATGGAGGGATCAGAGAACTCTTTGAAATAATACCCCAATTGTTGCCTGGAAATATTATCAGGTTACAACATGGAAGAACCCAAGAAGGGTCAATTCTTAGAGCATACTAAATCTCCAGCTGTTTTCTTAAAAGGGTGGCGATTGGGGCACTTTCTTTTCAAAATTTAAATTTAGTTTGACGTTATTTTTAAAATATATTTTAGATACAGGCAGTCCTCAGGTTATGTCAGACTACATGTCGTTTCATGGTTATGTCACCATCTCCCATTTATTTATTTTAAAAAGAAGTTCCGTTATTTCGACCTATGTACATATGTGCTTTATGTTTTTTATTATTTATTTACCACAAGTAAAGGTCATGAATTGTTATCTCTCTTTTAATTTCCTTTTTATTGTTTCACTTCATCACATGTGCTCCATGTGAATGACATAGGTGTTTATGTAGTTGGGTTCCGACTTACAGTGAAAATTACATTATGTCACGCCATAGTAATGGATCTCTGACTTAACCCAAGGACCTACTGTATATGTATGTACATATATATAATTATGTTTATTTCCATCCCCATTTGAAATTTTTCAGAAAATAGCTTCTATCTGTATATAAAAAAGCCTAAGAGACCCTCCAACTGTTGGACCTTTCATTCACTAGCTATTATGCACACTGACCACTAGGGGGCAGATGCTCAATGCACAGGCATGGAAACATGGAATAGACTGATGAATCTCAGAGGGAAGTGGGGAGAGGAAAGGGCAGGAAGAGAATAACCAAAGATCCTATATGCATAAAAGAGGTCCTGTGCACAGATTTGTGCACTGGTGAGGTCTCTCGACCTGGCCTGCAGGGATCTGGCTGAAACCAGCAGTCTGACTTCCCCTGAGGGGTCCTGTATTGCGAGAGGGCACAGGCCAGGCGGAGGGACCCCAGTGGTGTACGAATCCATGCGCCAGGCCTCTAGTATACAATAATTATCCACAATTCACTTCCAGCATAAGGATTTTACTTGTTTTTTTAAAGTAACTCTTAAATAAATACATAATAGTTTCTCACTGAAATAATATTTTAGTTCATTTAATCATTCTGTGATACAGTTTGTTAATTTTTAATGCTGAGAGAAATATTTTGAAAGTAGAGCTCTCCTCTCCTTATATGTTAGATTTTTTTCTATATAATAAAATCCTAGAAGTGGAGTTATTGGATCAAAGATTAGAAAACAAATTTAAGGCTTTTGATACATTTTGGGATTGAGGAGGAACCCATTTTATCAAACACTAATAATTTTTCCAATGTCACTGATTGCTCTCTGGATTTACACTTTGACTTGGCCATGACAACTAAACTTATACTTTATTGATTTATTCATTTATTCACTCATCCATTCCTTCATTCACATACATGTAGGTGTCAGGCATTCTACCAGATAATGAGAATAAGATGCTAAGCCAAACCAGAGCTCCTACTCTCATGTCCAGAACAGCATCTGGTTTGGGAAGACCCTGATTGGTTGAGAAGAGAGTTAGATAACCCCTTTTAAAACTATCTCTTTTCACCAGCAGCTCGATGGTTTAATGCCAACTGTCTACCTCCAGTTTTGTTTCTCTAACTAGGCTGTTCTGATTTTAGAGAAAGTTGGCCACTCCACATTGGATTTGAGGGAGATCTGACTTGAGCCCAGGAGATAAAACTAAAGCATTTTCTCTGTGCGTGGGCAAGCCATGTGGTTAGATAGCAGATGCTCATGGGCCTCGCTGCTACTGCCATCCTTGAGAATTGACACACACTTGGATTTCTGATCAGAAGGGAAGATGCAGTCTGGAGTGTGTCTCTGAGGGTTTAACGGAAAGTGCCTGTTTTTCTGTTCTCTGCCTTGGAGTCCCTGATTTATGACCCTACCCCTTCCCATCTTCCTCGTTGGTCATCTTACCCTTTTTCGTTTGATAATGATGGTGTCTAAGAAGCACCATCTTGAGATGGTTTTTCCAAAAGGTTTAGAGGAACAAATGTGTGCCTCTGAGCAGCCTGCAGCCGGGGTCAGCAAGGAGCAACTGAGACTGGCTCTGAGGGTGCAGCCATGGCCACTTGTCTGGGGACCATTTCATCTAAATCACTTGAATGGTTGACGTCAGTGCAGACATTTCCTTGTAATTATGTGGATCGTGAAGTCCTGATGACTCCCGGTGGACTTCAGTAAAGAGTGACTAATGGATCATGGGGTCGTTTGGTTAAGTTGGGGAGAAAATCTGGTCAACCAAGGACAAGACTTGAGGCACTCCCCATCTGCCCAACCTCCACACATGCTGTACTTGGGGTCCCTGACTCCCCGGGGCTCCTCTCCCACCTCGTTAGAGAAGAGCTCCGGATGCAGGCTCATGCAGCTCCACTCTGCCCCCTGCCCCGCACCTCAGGGACTGATGTCACCACACCAAGCAGAGCCTGTGTGTGAGCAGAGCTGCCATGGTTGCTTGGAAAAGGCAGTGCCCTCTGTCAACCATGATGTCATCCTAGAGGGTCATCCCAGCCCAGGCTATGCTTTTAATAATGTCCACACTAATGTTCCTCAGCTCTGAATCATGGTTGTTTTTCTTCTGTCAACATATTGTGCTCATTGGTGATAAAAGAAGGATGAGACTCTAAGAACCAGTAAATATTTTACATTTAGCCACATTCTGGTGTTCCCTGGACGAGGTCTTGCATCCCTCTCTCTCCCTCTTTCCCCTTCCTCTTCCTCTCGCCCACTCCCACTCTCCTTCTTTCTGACTCTCTCTTCTTTATTTGGATTCTGTTGCTTTTTAATTGTGTAGTGCAGTGAAAATTCACTTCAGAACATAAATAGGATGCTCAAAAATTTTTTAAGGAAAAATTTATCATGGACTTTTGCAAGAGAAAATATTCCTACAAGGTCCTTTCATGTCAGATTGTGTGCCATGGGAGAGCTGGACTCTAGCATGGCCTCTGGTACCACCTTCCTATGGCAAACATAGTGTATCCTGCTATAATTCCATGGGTCCCCTTCTTCCTATGGGTCCTAACGCAAATGTGTGATTGTGAGATGAGCTCAAAAGCAAGCTTTCCAAAACACAGTCCCCGAGGAGCGTGAACTCTGGGACACCAGTTGACATGCTCTTCCAACAGCCAGGCTAGAAGGGCATTTCATCTCTTAGCAAGCTGGCTTCGTCTCTACCTGAGGAAAGATAAAGAACTTTGCTCAGGAAACATGAGCCCCGTACCCGAGCCCTGTTCCTCTCAAACTGATGGACAGGTATGGGAGGAATGCATTTGTTGGCAGGAATTCGATGGTGCCCAGGCATAAATGGAAGTCACGTGCTGGTCCGTCCTCTCTCTGCTTCGGGGAAAACACTGTGGTGGAGGGGGACGCTCTGCAGGGAGGGGCTACAGAACAAGCTGTCTCCGTTTCGGCCAGCTGCCACTTGTCAACAGGCTCCAGCAATGGCATCTGGCCCTGTGAGTGTGGAAACCAGGAATGTGCCTAATGGTGGAGGCGGAGTGGCCAGTGGGAGGGGAAGTAAACCTTCTCTGCAGGTCAGGAGCAAGGTGCAAGGGCTCAGCTCGCCCTGTACCTTCTTCCAAAACACAACGCTTCCCACCCTGTACTGCTAACCAATCATCGCTCGTTTCCCACTGCAAGGCTTGGTCTTCCCTTTGCTTTTCTCTGTTTCCAGCCAGATGGCTTTTCATGGCAAGCAGGTGGCTGAGACAGACAAGGAGAAACCTAGTTAACCTGCAGTTCCCACCATAGGTTTGGTCAAATACGTTACATTCCAGAGAAGGCTGCGATGCTGTTGCGAGTAATGCTGGGGATGTACTTTAGCTCGCATGCAAAGATGGGCAGGATGTAATAAGCTCACAGCAAAGGCCATAAAACAGTAGGTGCAGTGCATTGCCATACTGGAATTCTCTCTCTCTGTGGAGAGAAGAATAGAAAACTGCACCAGAGATTTAAATGGTCATCATTTTTCAAGGTAATGTTACCGGTGATTATTCTTCCTTGGAGGTTTTTCTGTTTTCTAAACCTTTTTTTTCCCTAATGACTTTTGATCACTGTAGTTTTTATCACAACCTCTACCTATAGCCAGGTATCAAGACCATTTATATTTTTCTCTAGGGTTGCTCTAGACCAGTAATGTTCAATTGGTATCCCGTGGCAGGCACACTGGTGTGGCACAAGAATTTTTAAAACATTCAATACCTGACCACGTAGTCGGGGTCACTGACCTCTTTTCCCCTGGATTGTCAAGTGAAAATAAATGACAACAACCACAGCAACAGCCATCCAGTCTGAATGAATTAAAATTACACCTATTTTTGTCAGATCAGCCAAAGACATATTTTTGGTGTGCTGCAGAACATTAGTAACTAGTTCATGTGTGCCATGAGATGAAAAAGATTGAGAATCGCTGCTCCAGACAGTGGGCTAGCTTGGCCCTGTGCCAGCACTGGGTTAGAAGGGATGAGTGGCTCTAAATCCCTCTCTTGATCCACTTGCCAAACCATCCCCGGGCTGTGTCTTCCCAGAGGGAGGGAGCCTCTTCTAATTACCTGCCCAGATACGCCTGTTTTCTCATTCATGCAATGACCAGCAGCGCTCTCGCTCGCGCTCGCGCTCTCTCTCTCTCTCTCTCTCTCTCTCTCTCTCTCTCTCTCTCTCCAGGTTAATCATTTTGGCCATCTTGCATAACCACCATATACTACTACAAAGGGGAAATATTTCCCAGCCTAAATGTAGCAAGATTCTTCATTCTCAAGTTCAGATTTTAGAAATTGCTTTTGGGAGGGATGGGTGAAGTTCACAGATTCTTTACAAGGACCAGTTTTGGGAGGCCATATATGTGCTTACCTCCATAAGTCATAGGGATAGGAAGGGTTAGGGGAAGAATATTTGACTTTGAAATGTCAGTAATAGACCCTGACCAATGAAAGATGTCAGCTAAGTAACATCCTCCCGCCCTGTGCAAATAGGATGCAGGCCATCTTCACTGTTCCAGGGGGCAGTGATGGTGTCCCCGGAGCCTAAAGAAAGAAGCACCGTGACCATGTGACTGGCCTCTTGGGTGGAAGATGGTCAAATTCTTCCATCCTCTTGCCAATCTACATCTCTTTGTATGGTCTCTCCTTCGTTATCTGGGGGAAACTGGTGTGGCTTAATAGAGAGAGCATGGGCTATACAGTAAGCATGCAATAATGGAACTGAATGGTTCCCAGAGTCCTTTCCTCAAGTCAGAGTAAAGCTGTGATGAGCCAGAAAGATGCTGGGTTACGGGAGCTTAGGGCTTTGATGCACCTGCATGTTCCAGAAATAGCTTTTCTGACCCCAGGGACGGGGGCAGCCTTGTTTTAATTTCAGGGTTGCAATAATGACAGTTTTGTGAACTGCCAGATAGCTATTCCACATTCTCCTCTTGAGAGTGTGGTCTGAGACCTTGACTTGTGTAGTCAAAGCGTGTAATAACTGATTGGGTTCCCAGTGACCCTGCGACAGCCTTCACTTTGAAGTCTATTTCAGAATCTCCTCCTATCTGGCAGCACCTAAGCACAGGCCCCAGGGAGGCAGGATTTAGAAGCAGCATCGCCTGCAGGGCAGTCTGGGGCCAAGCTGGTCAATGGCCCACTCTCAGCTCAGTGAGAAGCTACAAGAAGTCACCCCTGAGTTTGGTGAGAGCTACTGCTCCATGAGCAGAGAAAGTAGCCTAGGGTGTCTCATGTGAAGCTCTGGAATTCTCTGAGAAATAGTACAACTGGAGTGTCAGGTGATGGCAGGGCTTGGAAGGGTGCACGTGGAAAGGGTGTAGAGAGAAAGCACTCAACTAGGAAGCCAGGCAGCTCCTGGGTAACCTCAGGGCATCTTTGTCTTTGAAAGAAGCATCTCCAGGTTATCTCTAGGGGCCTTTTCACTATGAAACCCATAGCTTTGTGATGGAAGCACTAGCTGAGGATGCCTTATAGACACGTCATTCTTAAGCAGAAGCCTTCAGAACAGAAAGAAGTGTTGATTGCTTCTTCCCACCACACACACACACACACACACACACACACTTTTTGCAGAAGAAATATCTCCGATTGTTACTAACAATCTATTTTTAAGAATGTTAATGATGACATTGTGTTCAGCTCACAGAAGTGCCTCCAAAAGTAAATATAGTAAGTAGTCCCTCCTCATCTGCAGGGCACACACTCCAAGATCCCCAGTGGATAGTACCGAACCCTATATATATTATTTTTCCTATATATTCGTACCTCTGACAAGGTTTTTATTTTATATGTTAGGCCCAGTAAGAGGTCAACAACAATTACTAGTAATAAAATAGTACAGGTCTGACAGTGAACTATAATAAAGGTTATGTGAGTGGCTCTGAGGCCATTAATAAGTAAAATAAGTGTTACCTGAACACAAGCACTGCGATACCGTGGCAGCCCATCTGATAACTGAGTCAGCTACTAAGTGACTAATGGGCGGGGAGCATATGCAACGTGGAGACTCTGGACAAAGGGATGATTCACATCCCGGGCAGGAGGGAGCAGGACAGCGTGAGATTTCATCACACTACTCAGAAATACACGCAATTTAAAACTTACGGATTATTTATTTCTGGAATTTTTCACTTAATGTTTTTGGGCCACAGTTGACAGAGGGTAACTGAAACCTCATAAAGCAAAATCTCAGATAAGGTGTGACTGTTATACAGAGCAGCAAGGGATATCAAGATGAATGATCTCCCAGCCCTGTCCAGTGTTGCTCAGTGGTTGAGCATCCCCCATATATTAGAAGGTCACCAGTTCAATTCCTGTTCTGGGCACAAGCCCAGGTTGCAGACTCAATTCTCCCAGTTGGGGATAGATGTTTCTTTCTCTCCCTCTCCCTTCCTCTTCTCTAAAATCAATAAAAACATATATTTTAAAAAGAAGGTGAATGGTCCCTTGAACATTGGTGATGATATAAACCAGGCTTTTTCAGTTCTGATCACTGAATGCTGACAGGATAGGATGGCCTCAGTGTCCATCAGTAGTTGGGGTATACAGGCCATCAGAGGTCATGGAAGGGGTCTCCCTGTAGAAAAGTCAGGTGTTTCGGACATAAACATAGTAGACACTGGTTAATGACTCTAAAGCTATACAAAGTATGTCACTTGATAACTTAGATTTGGATTTGCTCTCTCTAAGGAAATCAAGTAGAGATGAAGTCAGTTTTGACTTTTAGCAGAAAGATGTAGGTATTGGAAGTCCTAAAATGAATTCGGAGGTTAAGAGATAAGGCTCTGGGCCACAGTTCCTGAGGCCTTCCACAGGGTGGCTAATGAGAATGGCTGTATTGAAGAGGCCTTGAGAACATAGACTTTGGAGTTGGACAGATCTAGATTATAATCCTGGCACTAGGACATAGTAGCAGTGCAAATTTGTGCAAGTTAATACCTATCTAATTTTAGCCTCCTTATTGTTAAATGGGGTGGAAATATAGTATAGGGAATAGTTCTGAGAAGAATGAGATCTGGTAATCTCAGATGTTCCTGAGAAAAAGAAGCTAGGGTTACCAGAGAGTAACATATATCAATCTATAGACCAAAACACTAGGATTAAAACCAGCAACACTGAAACAGGCAGAAGGGGGTTAGCTGGATGCTGAGAAGTGAGTGGTGGTAAACCAAGGCAGGTAAACCAAGACTGTGGTAAATAGAAGATCAGTAGGAAGCTGTGCACAGGGATTAGACACAGAGCAGGTATGTGTGCAAATTAGAAGTCTTGGATTCCATACTGTATTCATTTCTTACAGCTACTATAACAAATCACTACAAATTTTATGGCATAAAGCAACACAGATTTGTTACCTGACAGTTCTGGAGGTCAGAAGTCTGACATGAGTTTAATAAGCTGAAGTGGAGATGTTGGCAGGGCCAACCACTCCCCTTGGAGGCCCTAAGGGAGAATCCATGTCCCTGCATTTTCCAGGTTCTAGAGGCTGCCTGCATTCCTTGGCTCATGGCCCCTTCCACAATCTTCAAAGCAGCATCGCAGCATTTACATCTATCTCACTTTCAGTTTCTGTTGTCTCACCACCTTCTCTCCTCCTGGGCTAGCGGTGGAACTCTGCTGGGTAGCACTCGATAGAAATCACTTCCCTCCAATAGGATTTCTCCAAAGCTTGTGCTCCCAGAATAAGTGTATGAGGAAGATGGAGAAGGCTAGAAAAGTAGGTTCTTGTTATTTCTCCACTTTCCATTGTTCGCCATCATCCCCAAGACAAGCACTCTGACTTTATATCTGTGATCAGATGTGTTTCTTCAAGTATCAAATGAAGTCTAATTTAAAATGGAAAGAACAATAGGACTCGCTTAGCATCACTACTTAAAAAGATATCCTTCATGGTTCAGTTCTATTCCTGCACATGGAGTCGGGTTTTAAGTAGCCAGATCCAAGGCTGGGTTCGGAAGCTGATGAATGGTGCAGCTCCAAGAAGCTGTATGTTGCAGGCTTTATGTTGCTCCCCTGGACACTAATTGTCATCTTGTCAGCTATTTTTTTCCCCTTTCTTTAAATAGTATGACAAATGGGTGTTCTGATAAGGCCGTCTTTGGTGTGGTCTCATGAGTTGATATAATTAAGAGCTAGTTCCACTTGGCAGTACTTCAAGAAAACCATCCACGTCTGGTGAACAAAGGAATTACTTAACAATTCAGGTGAGCACTGGCTCTTGAGAAAGTGGAGGCTAAGATAGGAGGGAAGGCAGGACATCCACACTGGCAGCCAACCAGAGGTGGGTGGTCAGCCAAAGGCAAGTCCCCCCTCCCTTTCCTGCTGTCCCCACCTGAGTCTTTGTCAACTGTGCACTTGAGATGGGATATGGATGGGCTGTTGCTGCCCATGGGCTGGACGGAGCATCAAAGTCAAGGAAAATGACTCTATCTTTGACTCTCTCCAGTTCTCACGAAATAAACATCACCTGGCAATTCCTTTGAGATTGATTAGTCACTATTTTATTTCCTGGGTCCTTCCTGCTGGGTTAAACGTTTTTCTAAACAATGGCATCATTCATCAGCATAACAGTTTCTAGTCGTTTACAACATAACCAGGGTTTGTACTTAGTGGAGGTCCCTTTATCAAACCGTCACTTAGATCAGAAATTCATTCTATGGCTGATGCCATTTCCCAGGAGAGCCACACAGGCCCAGCAGAGAAAATGTTCCTGTGGGAGACTTAGTTTTGGATAAGTCCCAGGGGTCATCTGCAAAGCAAGACTGAGCAAGTCTGTTCTGGTGGAACTCCAAGACCTTTGCTCTGGGTCAGCCAGTGTATTTGACCTCCACATGTATATCAGCTTTGATGCTCTTAATAGCTGCTGAGGCAGGCCAAGGATCATGGTTTAGTAGACAAGATCTAGACAGACTTGGGTTCAAATACAAGCTCCAGCACTAACTGGTCATGGGGCCTTGGGAAACTTTTAACTCAGAAATAAATATAATCTATGTGGAATGCCTTAACTATGATGCCTAGTATATAGTAAGTGTTCCTAAATGGTAGTTTAGAAACTAAGAACACCACTGGATCCATTTTTTAAAAAATCATGAGACTCCAGTCTGTTTTCTGGGACAGAAACAAACTGAAGATTATCATAAAAGCCATTCGGGTGAAAGTGTGGCTAGAATGTACCTTACTCTCACAATGAGTCACTATCAGAGTGGCAGGTTTGCATACAACAGGTTCCTGCAGGTACCCAATGACACACCCATTCCTTTAAAAATCCGTTTCATCTCCTAGTGATGTCCAAGGTCCTGAATCCTACAGACCTCTACCATCCATGTTCCTGAGCCATGTCCTGAGACTCATCGTGTAGCTCTACCCTAAAGCATATACTGAGCTCTGTTCCTTGACCCCACTGTCCTGGGTGAACAGCCTGGTCTTTTCCTTTCTTAGTCTCACCTGACATTTCAGAGGTTGAGAAACCCTCAAAGATTCAAGGGAACATTCAGGCCAGGGCAACGCTAGGCACTCTTATAGAAGAAACAAACTCAGAGAAAATCAATACTCGATCTTAGCACCATTTGCCAAGTGATTGTCCCAGCACACAAAGTCCCCCATAGAAGACGTCATTGAACACGTCATAGAACTTATCTAACAAATTATTGGGGAATTAAAGACTCTGTTATATCTCAATATATTGGAAAAGTACGCATCTCAGAAATATTAAATTGGGCAGCATGCATCCTAGAATCAAAGAACCACAACTTTTTTCTGAGCCTGTATCTGAACGTCTTTTTCCTGTTCTGTCAATTCATGCTTAAAACACTCTGAAGGACTCTCAAGTGCCATTTAAATGGGCAAGGGAGAGAAACCCAGAGTTTCAAATCTATTAAATCTATTTCTGGCCAGCAGTGTTTAGAGCTCCTTGTGCAGGAGAACAAGAGCCTTCTCCTGAGAAGAGAGACCTCCGGGTGGCATGGAATAGGAGTCGCCAGACATTTTCAGGGTATGGGAACCCTGGCTGTGGTTTGGGTAAGATGTTTTAAACAAACAGAACTCTGGCTAACACCACCCACCGGTGCCTACAAACCCTCCATTCCTCCTTCCCACATCAGACTTGAGGTGAAGTTCAGTTGGCGGCAGCTTGGCTCTGCCATCATGTCCAAATTCTACTATTTCTGGCCCGAATTTGCTTTTCCTGGCAGACTTGAGCCAAGTCCCAATGAAACATATCCATGACTTTCAAAATCACTGGGAAAATTGGGCTGGCAAGAGGTGTAGGGGCAGAGGCGGGAGGGGTGGGGGGACCATCCAGGGTAATTGCTGTGAATGGCCCAGTGATGAGAATCTGCATCCAGGAAGTAATTTCACGAGATCTCTGCTCGCTCACTTCCAGTCTGGCTCTCCCCTCCCTGAGGCCGGGCACAGAGCTCACTTTTTTTATGGACTGTAAGTTCATTGTGAAGTTATATATCCTGGCAGTTTATAGGCAGTGTTTTCTTTCCTTTTATTGGTGCCCCTAGACAGTGCAGCCCTGCTCATGCTTGTTGGTGCCTTCCCCTTTCACGCTGGCCCTGACTAAGACAGACTCCTCCCCACCCCAACCAGTTCTTCATAGGAAGCCATGTCTCTCCCGCACCCAGGACAGCCTCCGATTTGCGGAGTGACCCTGGTCGGGGGTCCTCCAGCCCATCCTGGATGCAGGGGAAGGAGAGTGCGGCCCTCCCTGGAAACTTATGTAAATCTGAAAGGCTCCGTGGACTTCGAGGCCAACCCAGGGAAACCTCAACAAATCCACTCCCTTTTGCTTTCCTTAGATTTCCTATAAATAATCAGGCTGTGATTGCCGTGGGAACCAGAGGATGGGGCGGATTCGTGCTTGAGGACTTTTCTCCTCTGCGATGCCAAGCAGTGGGAGCCTCTTCTCATACTTAGGCCTTGATTAGTCTGGTCTCCCTCCAACTTCTTGCCCTCAACATTTCGTTGAGTGTTGAGGCTGGAGTCCCCCCATAGTGTGCAGCCCTGGGCAAGATCTTCATCCCTCTGGCCCATAATCTCCTCATTGGCAAAGTGGGGCTCAGTTCCCATACCCTGACTTATTTGACAGAATCATTGTAAGGATTAAATAAGATATTCTGGGTTAGACACCGGGCATGATGCTCAATTCACAGTTATTATTGTCATTCCCATTAAATGGATGTGTCACATAGGCTTCTGGCACCAGGACCTTTCCGAGTGGTCGGACATTTGGCTTGGTCTGTGTGTAGAACTGCTGGCCTGGATTTCATAAATTTAAATAAGTCTCCGTTTCCCAAGTATAACTAGGGAAGAACAGGAGGATCCACCTCCCAGAGTTGTAAGAATTAACTAGGATGATGGGTCTAAATGCCTACACGTAGGAAAGATGCTGTTGATGAAGAGACTGGGATTCTGAGCATCACTGGAGAACGCTGGCCTGCATCACACCTGGGACTCTCCCTGGTAGACCTGTTTCTACTAAATCTGGTAGGGTTAGGAGAGAAGCCTCCTCTGGCTCTAACTTCATGTAATTTTGTCTTCTGCCTCCTCTCCCCCCTGTGCCCACTCAATCCAGACCAGAGCTGAGAGAGCTTTGAGGTTTTAGAGCTTTTTCCTGCTTGTAGCTGAGGAAGGTGGGGCCTTTGAAGTGGCTGAGGTGGACAGATCATGCCCTTGCCCCCAAGCAGGCCCTCCGACTCTGCACATGCCTCTCTGTGAACACAGAGCACCCCTGGACATATGTGTTCTGAGCTGTGGGTCTCAACACAGACAGATTAGCACCCCATCTCCCGCAGGCCTGCCCCTCCATTTCATCAGCTTTATCCTGGGGTGGATAATATTTCCCTAACTGCCTAATTGGGAGAATTTAGCTGGAAAGCTGCCATGGTGTTCTCTTTTAAAGGGTGCCAGCAGCCAGGGGCTGCCAGCTGTAATGTCAGTAGGTAATCCCGACTTTGCTGCCATGGAGCCAGGGAGCACTCCGCCTTCTTCAGTCTACGTCCCAAGTCCTTTGAACAGGTTGCACGCTCTAGAAGAAAAGAGCGCTCAAGAGCAGCACAGGTGCCCTGACTGGTTTGGCTCAGTGGATAAAGCATCAGCCTGCGGACTGAAGGGACCCAGGTTCAATTCGGGACCCAGGTTCGATTCTGGTCAAGGGCATGTACCTTGGTTGCAGGTACAGCTGGTCAATGTTTCTCTCTCATTGATGTTTCTAGCTCTCTATCCCTCTCCTTCTCTGTAAAAAATCAATAAGATAATTTTTTTTTTTTTAAAGAGCAGCACAGAGGTGGCCGGGACACAGCTGCCAGCACTGGTCCATTCCCTTCCTGCCCCCATGCCCCAGCGGGAATGCAGTGCAAACGCCTTGGTGCAGTGGTTAGCAACATGTACTCCACCCAGGCAAGTCTGGGAATTATCTTGGAAAAGGAAATTATAATGGCAAAGACTTGTTCCTAACTTTGGGAGAGATACAGTGTAGAGCAGTACTTAGGAGTGTGGACCCTGGGGCAGACTGCTGGCTTGGGTTCAAATCTAGGCCCTGCTATTTGCTGGGCAAGTTCCATATGTCCCAGTTTTATCATTTGTAAAACATGGACGATGACACTAGCACCTACCTCTGCTCTGTACATGGAGGGACCCAGGCTGACAGTAGCTCTGCCACCTTTAATGTGTAGCCTCCCTGTGGGTCTTCCTACAGATTTCTGTGGGTCTAGCCCACAGAAAGGGAGGAGACATTCAGAATTGGGGGGCACAGGGTTAGATGGGCCAGGCTTGGAAGGGGGTGCCCATTCTAGTCACCTCCCCTCTCCAGGGTGCAGTATGTTGCCCAGTCTAACATGACCAGGGAATGTGGTTAGCTGGTGCTCAAGATGTTGAGGCTCAGCTACCCAGAGAACCTGCCTGAGAACAGCAGTGGGTGCATTTACTGAGTACTTGCTGTCCTAATATAACAACTCAATTACTCAAAATAACATGATGATACTATGTATAGATTATATATCCCTGAGGGTCTGGGTAGAAAGGATAATTAAGGAGGGTGTAAGGATATTTGTACATCTGTGTTCGTAGCAGCAGCATTCACAGTAGCCAAAAGATAGAAGCAATTCAAGTTTCAATAGGCAGATGAATGGATATGCAACATGTGATACAGACATATAATAGAATGTCATTCACCCTTAACAAGAAGAGAAATTCTAACACATGCTACAGTACAACATGGATGAACCTTGAGAATAATCCTGTGGAGTGAAATAAGCCATTCACAAAAGATAAATGCTGTCTGATTCCACTTATACGAGAGGGAGGGGCAATGGAGAATTACTGCTTAATGAGCACAGAGGTTCAGCTTTGCAGGATGAAAAAAGTTCTGGGTGTGGATGGTGGTGATGTTTGCACAACAGTGTGAATAGTGTATATTTAATGCTACTAACCCGTACACTTAGAAATGATTAAAATGGTAAATTTTATGTCATATATATTTTACCAAAATTAAAAATAATTTTGAAGGAGATATTTACAGAAGATATAGACAGGATATAGGACCTGTGGGTGGTGATGGTTAAGCACAGAGGAAGTAGCAACTATAGTGAACTACATCCAGCCATAGGCATGAGGGGTACATGGAAGGGGAGGGGTTATCAGAACAATGTGGGAACAGAAGCATGGGAGAAGGGCCACCCAACAGGAGCCATGGCTTTAGGGACTGAACTCAGCACCTCCGGACCATGCCTGGTAGAGAGGAACCAGGGGACAATGACCCTGACCTCTGTCCTTTGGCCCGTGAGGCCCACAGGCAACACCCAGCTGGGGTGATGGTGATGTCCACTGAGTCAGCCTCCCCAAGCCTCAGAGAAGGGAGGGGGCAGGGGATGGAGAACAGATCTGGGGGACGGTGACCAGAAAAGATTCAGTGAGCTACCATTATTTCCATTCTATAGACAAGGATACCAAGCTAAACTAAGCCACTGTTGAACCTGAGGTGGCTTTGAACCTGAGGTGGCTGGCCCCTAAGCCTCCTAGGGCAGTGATCGGCGAACTCCTTAGTCCACAGAGCCAAATATCAACAGTACAACAATTGAAATTTCTTTGGAGAGCCAAATTTTTTAAACTTAAACTTCTCCTAACGCCACTTCTTCAAAATAGACTCTCCCAGGCCGAGGTATTTTGTGGAAGAGCCACACTCAAGGGGCCAAAGAGCCACATGTGGTCGCAGTTTGCCGACCATGGTCCTAGGGAAAGGGCAGAAACCAAAATGTCACGAAGGTCTGTGATGTGCCGGCGCTGTGCTTCCTCCCCATGCAAGGAGTGAGAGGAGAGGGACTCAGAGAGCTCAATGCAGTCGCCTGCCCGCGGTCAAGCAGCTAATCAGCAGCAGGTCCGGGATTTCAGACTCCAAAGCCCAGCTCTTGCCACCAGCTGCGGGGCCTTCAGGCAGGCAGGGGTTCACATCACCACCGTTATCACCAGCATCAGGACACGGTCACTGAGCAAGGGCGGCAGCGTGCCTATGTCCGGACAAAGGGAGCTACTATGCACAGACCCCGTGATTCCCACCCCCTGTGCTTTCAGGCCTGGGCACCACTTTGTCACAAGCCATGCTCAGCACCCACACAAGGACAGAAAACACTGTCCATCCCAGTCAGCAGGCACCAGCGTGCTAGCACTGAAAGAGATGTTTGAAACCATCTATCAAACCCCTCATTCTGCCTGGGCCAGGATGACCCCTTGGTCCAGTGCGAGCCCAGCTCATAATGAGTTCAGCATAATCCCGACATGCCAGCGCCTCCATTTATCATCCTGAAGAGCCCTGCCAGCCCACCTGTCTGAGGCCATCACCGATGGGTGAAGCTTTCGCCACATGGAAACCCAACCTATCCTCTTTCTATGTTCAAGACACACAGCTTAGAATGACACGTTTTTCCCAAGCCTTCAGAAATGCAAACTCATATCTACAAGTACTTGGAAGTAAAGACCAATGTCACAACTCCTAGCACCAGAGAAGTATGCAGGGAGCAGCTCCCAGGAGATTAGAAAAAGCCAGCAGGTGCATCCGGGCCTGTAATGTGTGAGGGGAGCTTGGTGTTCTGCCCTGTTCACCCCCAACACCTCTGAGTTGGGAATGAAGCTTGAGCTGGGAGGCGTGTGAGCTGAGCTGCAGGGTCGCATGTGGGAGAGAGAGAGGGAGGCAGGCAGACTCATCCGTGCGTTCACTGGCAGCGAGGAGCAGGGCCAGCCATATGGGCAGTCGTGAGGGGGCACTAATTAGAAGCAAACTGTGGCCTGCCTGAAGCGGCTGCAAGGACACCCAGTGGGTGCCGTTTCCTGCGCAGGGTGGGCAGCCCTGGATGAGAGGGCGACAGGTGCTGCCTCCTCTGAGTCTCTTGGCAGCACCTCACCTGCTCCTGCGGCTCATTCTGAGATGCTCATGACCTTGGAATGCCCAGGGAAGCTGGGTTTGCCTAGAGATTCCAGAGACGGCTTTCTACAGAGAACGGCCATCTCCTCGGCTTTCTCTTTTGAGGATTTGTCTGCAAAAGCTGAAGGACTTTTGTTTATTTTGTTAATCAGCTTAACAATAACCCACAACCTTCGGACCAACTGGACTTTTGTTTATTTTGAAATGCAGCACACGGATGGGTGATGTTTGGACACAGGGTCATTTCGACATAACCTAGATCTCAAGCCAGGGAATTGTCAGCGTGTGCTGCAATGCCTGAGCGTGCCGCAGGCAGCCCGAGGGGCTGATGGCACACATGCAGTAGCGTGAGGAATGGGGGAAGCTCAGGACTGAGAACGAGGAGGTCAGAGACAGTAAAGGATCAGGGGCAAGATGATGGTTGCATTCCATTGGTTCTTTTTTAAATGGTATTTTGCATGTGTGTTGATATTGAAATGACTATCACGTGATCATATAAGAATGACCCACTTTGCACCTGTGATGCTAAGAAGAGTCCACTTGAAATAAGTCTTCATGGAGTCCCCCATCTCCCCTCCCCTTTCTCACTCTCGTCTTCACCCTCATCATCACTCTCCATACTCTTGCACCAGTCCCGGCCTTGGTCACTCTGATCTCCTCACCACACTGTAGCCAGATGGGATTTTCCTAAAGCACATCTGTTTTTAAAGAGTCTCCGTGGCCTCTGTATCCTGATACAAACCCAAGGCTGCTAACCCTAATCAGTGAATGCTGATCTTCCTACTTCCCTGCGCCCTGGAACATGTTGGTTTATCCAAGAATGACCTTGGAGGGCATTGCCTGATGGATGAGTTTCACCTTCAAGAAGCCTGGTGTCTCTTGAGGCTGCCCTCCAGCCAGAGACGTCCTCAGCCTCAGTAACAGTTGGTGCGCCTTTGGGAGCTGGGGGAGAGCGTGGCCCTCCTGCATTCCTGTGCCTGAACACTGCTTTTCATTGGGATAAAGGTGGAGCAGGAAGTCATGCATTGGGTAGTTCCTTAGTTTAAAGGAAAAAGAAAAGCGTCCTCAGTCTGTGTGAGCACGTTACATATATGTGCATTAGAATCCTTAATGATTCTTTGGAGAGAGCTTAAATTTATGTGTGGTTTATCCAAACGATGTATCTCCGGTGGGGAGAAAACCACCCTATTAAACAGCATTGGTGATACATGGGGGGGAAAGAAAGTGAGTGAGAGAGAGAGAGAGAGAGAGAGAGAGAGAGAGAGAGAGAGAGAGAGAGAGAGAAAGTGAGAGAGAGGGAGAGAGAGAGAGAGAGAGAGGGAGAGAGAGAGAGAGAGAGAGAGATAGAGAGAGAGAGAACCCTGAACTCCAAGAGCGTGAGAAAACAAAGGGGAAATCGAAATCGTGGGTCTGCCAGGAACCTGCCATTCATGGAGCCCACAAATCACAGGGAAACAAAGAGAAATAGAAAGATTTGGTATTAAAAACCCATTTTTCCCTGAACCTGTGCCAGCACCTATAAAACAATTACATGTGATCACATTTGAGGCTGTTCTGAGACACTAATTCTTCTCCTGACATTAAAATGTGCATGTTGCTTTCAAAACGCCGCCCGCAGTCCAGAAGGGCCCCCAGGAGAGGGGCAAACTGGATTGCCGGGCGGCCGGGCGAGCCCAGCCTTGGAAAACTCTGGTTTTCCTCCTTTTCTGCCTGAGAACTTCCCCTGGGAGCTGCTGATTTTTTGACCACCGCCCTGTGATACCTTTGTGTGGTTCTCAGGTGGCACCCTGGTTGCCAGGAGACCAGACAAGGGGGTAGATGGTCTCCTTAAGGCCCCCTCCAAAATAGGAGAGAAACCCACCAAAAGCTCACGACCAGGAGAAGGCATTGAGGCTCCACACGTGGCCCAGGGCGGAAGGACCGCCTGGACCCAGTTCCCACGCAGAAAGCCGGCCACGGACCCATTGGTCCACGCGCAGTTCCTCGCCGCCTTCAGTGGGTCTTTGACCTCAGACTAAACAGGGCCCCTGTGTGAAATCGGCTGTTAGTTCTGAAAGCCTTCTCATTTTGACAGGTGAGCACCTCAGCAGAGGTACCCTGTGCAGAGATGTCAGGGAAAATGTACCAGAGGAAACTGGAAAATGTGAGGGAGCGAGCGTAGGTGTCCTGGGCCCTGGCCTGGCTGCACAGGCGGATTTATTTCTCGTGCATTCGCTCCGTGGGTTTCCCCCTCATCCAGGCTTAGACGCCAACGTGCACAAAAGACAGGTGATCCCAGGGCCTTGGCTCCTTGCCCACAGGGCTTCAGGGATGCACCTCTCGGCAGGGGGCCCGCCTTCAGATCCAATGTGGGGTTCTTTCCAACTTGAGCTTGGAGGGGCGGAGCCCTGAGAAGGGGAGGCAAGAAGAAGAAAAATAGGTGAATTAAGTGAAAAGCATGTTGTGGGCCAATTTAATCAGGGTTAATATATCAGGCCTCGTGTTGTTCTTGGAACTGGCTTCGGGAGTAACAGGATCCCCGACAAGTTGTAGCCAGCCCTGCGAGGGAGTGAGTCCGCAGTTCACACACCGGTCTGAGGAAAGCCAGGCTCCCAGCAGCAAGTGGCAGGTCCCCTCCGCTGGCAGGGCGGGCCGCAGGGCCAGCCATGCTCACTCCCTCCTGGGTCTTGCTGCCCTGGCTGCTGGTGAGTGACAAAGGCTGGGAGTCGAGGCCTCCGGGAGCGTGGCCAGCCCCAGGCCTGTGTGGGCCTGCCCCTGGCTGGAGGGGAGTGAGTGGGACACCTGGCCATGCTTTCAGAGAGCTCCCTTACTGCCGGCTGCAGGCGATTCCACCGCCAGCGGGGCCTAGGAAGGGGGCAGGCAGGCCTTGGTCTCGCAGTCCCCACAAGGGGACCTTGGGGAAGGTGTGTGATTTGATCCCTGTGTTTTGCCGATGGAAAACGAACGGCCCAGAGCGTGGAAGGGGGCTCACTCTCCTCGTATGCTGCTGACCCAAGGGATGACTCAGGATACTGAGAGCCACTTGCTCCCTGAAGGCGCCGGGTGGAGCCAACCTTTCCTGTGCCGGGGACGCAGGATCACATGTCCTTGGCTTGGTTTTCCCCACAGACTCTGAGGATCACCTGAGCCAGGGCTCCTCAACCCCCTTCAGTGCTCCCCGTCCCCGGAGGTAGCGCCGGCTCGGTCAGCCTGTTTTCCCTGTCAGGCTGGGGAAAATCCGTGCCTTGGGTGCAAATGCAGCCTTCACTGTTTACCAGCTGTGTGGCTTTGAACATTTAATCCCACCTTCTCTCACCCTCCTCCCCCCCGCACCCCAGCACCGCTGTACAGTGGGGAGGAGAATAATAGTGCCTGCTTCACACGATTGCCATGAAGAGTCAGGGAGGCGATGTATGTACGCTCTGCACAAAGGCCTGGACGAATCATCACTCAGAAATGTTACTGCTACCATTTACTAGTATTATCATGGTCATTGTCATATTAGAGTTGTGGGGAAGATTCCATTTGAAGAAAAAGGGGGGGAGGGGGAGTGTTTGAAAGATAAAATATGTTTATCACCTTGACTTGACCAGGGGGGTGCCCAGATATTTGACCAAACATTCTTCTGAGTGTTTCTGTGTGGGTGTCTTAACATTTAAAACAGTAGACTGAGGAAAGCAGATTGCTCTCTGTAATGTGGGTGGGCCTCACCCAATCAGTTGAAGGCCTGAATAGAACAAAAAG